TTTTGCACTTTATTACTATTATTACATTGTAATACATAATGAAATAATTATATAAATCACCTTACAAAAAAAAGAGTCATAGACAGAAATAGTAAATAAAATAATGGGTGGGTCCACATGCAGATTAAAATCAGTGTCAGATTCTGACCTGAAACCTGCCACCAGATGCAGCTGTACAATGAAAGTACCTCAACTCACTACTCACTGATAGGGATTTGGTATGAGTCTGCAAGCAATTGATTGATTATGGTCTTTGTGCAGTCAAACCTCACTGCTAATGTTAATCTGTATTTATAACTGCTCCTCAGCACTAGCATCACTGCCTCAGCTCCACCTCAGATCATCAGGCATTAGATTCTCATAAGGAGGGCACAACTGAGATCCCTTGCATGCACAGTTCACAATAGGGTTCATGCTCCTATGAGAATCTAATGCCACCGTTGATCTGATAGCAAGTAGAGCTCAGGCAATAATGCGAGTGACAAGGAGTGGCTGTAAATACAGATGATGCTTCACTGGCTTGCCCAACACTAACCTTCTGCTATGCAGCCTGGTTCCTAACAGGCCACGGACCAGTACCAGTCCATGGCCCAGGGCCTGGGGACTCCTGTCTTATACTACAGACCTTGAGGGTAGGAATTGTGACCTTGTCATAACTGAACAGACAGTTTATTTTTTCATAAAGGAGAAGTTGAAGAGAAAGACATATGGCAAAGAAATAATGGATGCAGAATTTTGATAAATCCATCTGTATTGATGAGGGCTCAGGTGAGTTTTTGACCTTTTCCTATGAGAATCAGTATGACTGTGAGAAGATCTAGGAGTTTATTAGGTAATGCACTGAATCCTTTGGTCTGATTTAGCTATGAGTGAGATTCTTAAAAAGCTATTGTATTTTCATCCTGGTTGGTCTCAGATGAATATTAGATATGTGAGAGGTTCTTTCCAATGCCAGCTTCCTCGTTGTCCTCCCTGATCTAGTTCAAGTGTGTCTCCTGTTATTAAACACTATTTCATCTAGATGTGTCTGCTAATGTTTTCCTAAAAAATAATTGTTTGAGCTATTTTAATTTATTTTATTAATTAATTAATTAATTAATTTAAGTTGGAGTCTCACTCTGTCACCCAGACTGGAGTGCAGTGGCCGCTCCCGGCCACCGCAGCCTCTACCTGCTGGGCTCCAGCGATCCTTCCGCCTCAGCCTACCGGGTAGCTGGAACTACAGGCGCGCACTACCACACCTGGCTAATTTTGATTTATTGTAGAGATGAGGTCTCGCCAAGTTGCCCGGGCGGGTCTCGAACCTGTGGGCTCAGGCAATCCACTCACCTCAGCCTCCCAAAGGTGCGGGATTACAGGCTGAGCCACCGAGCCTGGCTTGTTTAAGCTATTTTAAATATTTATTTCTATTATGCTGTACACTAAGGGCAATATCTATTTCTATTTATTTTATTTTTAGGAATTAATATTTGGACCTTAAATCTAACCACTAACATCCCATGAGAGATATATGGTAGCCAGTAAGCTAAATGATTTTATGTATTATCTTGTTTAATCATCTCAATTGTTCTGTGACATAAATATGATTACTACCTATTTTACAAGTAAAAAAATTACACTTTATGTGCGTTAAAAGCATTCTCAGCCGGGCTCAGTGGCTCAGCCTGTAATCCTGCGCCTTTGGGAGGCTGAGGTAAGTGGATTGCCTGAGCCCGCGGGTTCGAGACCCGCCAGGGCAGCGAGACCTCATCTCTACAATAAATTCAAAAACATCAGCCGGGCGTGGTTGCACATGCCTGTAATTTCGGCTACTTGGAAGGCTGAAGCGGAAGGATCGCCGGAGCCCAGCAGGCCAAGGCTGTGGTGGCTGGGAGCGGCCACTGCACTCCAGTCTGGGCAACAGAGTGAGACTCCAACCAACTCAAAAAAAAAAAAAAAAAAGCATTCTCAAGGCAAATGGTGAAACCTAGACTCAAACTCAGGTCCATCTAGCTCCAAATTTATCAACTAGTCTTTTTTATCTTTATTGTCTCTCTAGTAGATATTTAATAAATATTTGTGAAAAGGAAGCACAGTTCAATGTTCTAAACACTTTATTAATCAGAGTAAATATTTTATATAATTTGATCTATAATTACAGTATACATATGTTCAGCCACACTGTCCCTCCCAGGTTTTTATTATGCTTGAGTTTAATTTCATGGATGCCAGGTTTGAGTTTAACATATTCTAATTAATGTAAATGCTGAAATTAATTTATATGGTGCTTAAGTACTCTATAACATTTAGCATAGCTTATGGATAATAATTATAGTTGTATAGTGGAAAAATCATAAATTGATTTAGGAGACCTAGGTTTAAATGATCACTCTGTGCCTTACAAACTGTAGAAATATGAGACATTATTTTTTTTTAACTCTGACTGCTTCTTATGTAAAATGAGAGGCTAGATACAATGTTTATGCAGGTACCTTCCAGTACTGATCATTCCAGCTTACCCCTTATGAGCAATGAAATGCTAAGTAAGGGAGGTGTGGAGCATTCCAGATGTTCCATATTCCCCCTAGTCCTTGAGAACCTAACTGATAACAACTTAAGGGACTTCTGGGATGCAACCATATATTGCTCAGGTCAGGGAGTTGGTAGAGAGAATTGAGGGATATGAGCACAGCATGCAGTGTCCCCAGCACTGCTCTGCCTTCCTCTGTACCTTCTATGAATAGAATTCATTCAGGTGGGTAAGTTAGGGAGTCAGATACTCCAAATTCAGGCCCTAAGGTGTTACTTTCTTAGTTTAGAAATTCCTGAGTGCTACAATACAGCCGTCTGAAGGAGGAAAGGTTTTTTCTAATCTGAATCAGCTTTCTTTTTTTCCCCTTCACATACTCTTGCCTTCATCACCTTCTCAGTGCTATATTTTCTGTCTTTTGCCTTTGATCTCTGAACTTCCATTGTGCTTTCTGCTTCACAACTTATTTTTTAAGGAAAGATACCCCATCAGGGTATGATTTGCATGTAGACGCCTTGGTGTGAATAATCACTGCTGTATGTTTTTTAGAAAACTCTGGTGTCAGGCGGTATATAAAAAGACCTGGGCTGTTTTGGAAACCACTTGGTAGTACCCTATTTAGTGTTAAAAGACTCCAAATCATAAGTGTGTTTATACTGCATATTGTATAGGAAGAGATTGTAGGTAGGGAAAGGGGCTCTTAAGAATCTAAAATGAAAACAAATTATATCCTGAGAACAAAGAGTAGAGGAGTCCAGGATGTAAATGGAGTAGTGAAGGCAGAAGAAAGCCGGAAGGTGAGGGTGGTAGAGCAGTCTATAGGTGCAAAAGCTTGGGTCCTAACAGTTTTCACAACTTTTGACTTTGGGCTTTTCACAATCACATTGGGAAAGTTTCTTAGCTTCTCCAATTTACAACAAAGAAATCAATACCCAGAAAAGGTGAGTGATTTACTTACTGAGTACTCTCTGGAACAAGCCCTTGCACTAAGCGTAGTTTAGCAAGGACTGAATAAGAGTCAGGGTTAAGTTCCTGGCGCTCGTGAGGCAGAGGAAAACATAGTATTTACAAAACTGTAATGCAAGCTAGGCAGGGAAATAGACACAGGAGGAGATATAAGACAGATCTGTGAGTGGTAGGAGGGCATTACGTCTGTTGGTAAAAACCAGCCAAGCATTCCTGGAGGAGGGCATTCTTGGACCTCAGCCCTGGAAGATCGATTGAATGGTTATGTTCATGCAGGCTGAGCAACCTTGGAGAGCTAGGAAGCTGCAGATCAAGTATGGATGATGGCAAGTAGACTAATCTGGGTGTCCTGAAGTGTAAGAAAGAGAATTTGGGGAATTGAGGCCATAAATACTAATTTAGAACCATAGAGGGCCTTTAATTTGATGAGGGACCATTTAAGGATTCTAATCAGAACAGTGTTTTTCAGATTTGATTTTTAAAATATTAGTTCTACTTCAGATTAGAGATGAATAGAGAGAGGCAAGATGTTTATTAGGAGGCTGTTATTATGTTTACTAATGTGATTTCTTGAGTCTAAGGTGAACTACTACAGTTAGAATGAAGTGGAGAAAGGTGCTGACAGAGACACTTTGGTGTTGGTGTTTTGATTGGCTGTTACACGGTGTAATGTAGTAGATAAAGGATAAGAAGTCAAATCAATATTTGAGTCTCATTCTTGGACATAATGATTGCATTGTTCAAAGAGATAGAGAATGCCAATGAGAAACCATCCTTTGAAACAGAGAACTGATTATTAATCCCATGGCATTCAGGAGCTAGATGCGATTTGGTTGTAAACAATTATGAAAAACTTACTTTCTAGTAAATTAAATGATCTGTGGACAATAGTGGTGTCTTAAGCTAAATAGATAGAAGAATGAAAAGGTGGGTGGAAATATGAAGGTCTAGTGCACTTTGATGAATGCCTAGAAGTTTATTTCTATGAATTTAAATGTTTCTGTTTATCACCTGTCTGAATAAATGGATGAAAGAACTGAGAAACTACACAAAAGCAAGAAAAACAGGAGTAGTGAAAGTTCAGTAACATGTAAGAGTGGGAAAAAAGATTATGTTTCAATGAATAAGTGGATTGCTTTGAAAGAGAGCAAAATAGTAGTGATCCGAAAGAAGAGTTTTGTTTTGTGTTTCAAATAAAGTGATTGATATCCACAGATTGATTAAGAAAAGAGTTCATAGCTTTAAATGTGAGAAAGAGCATGGTGGTAATAGACAAAGGTGGAAAGGAGAGCAAAGGCACCTGTCATGCCAGCCAGATAAACTGAGACAACAGATTATTCCAGAAATCTTGGTAACAATGAGAGGTAAGGATGAGTGATTTAGTGTACAACATTAATTAATGCCATAAAGTGAGGTTCTGTGTAATATATAAAAGTCTTACAATGTTAGGCAGAGACTATACATAAAACTCTTTTTTGTCTTCTTTATAGCATAGTGACTCTAGAATCTAAGCAGGAGTCCCAACATGGGAGGTAAACCCCACAACAGCTCAGGGTTGCCTCCCTTCATCTTGACAGGACTCCCAGGGTTGGAGACTACCCAGCACTGGCTATTTTTGCTCCTTGGTGTCCTCTACATTGTCTCCATTGTGGGAAATGCTCTCATTCTTTTCATTATCAAGGAAGAACGGAGCTTACACCAACCTATGTATTACTTCCTGTCCCTGCTGTCAGTTAATGACTTAGGTGTGTCTTTCTCCACACTGCCCACGGTACTGACCACGTTTTGCTTTCACTTAAAGAAGATCAGTTTTGATTCTTGCATGGCCCAAATGTTCTTTATTCATCTCTTTTCCTTCATGGAGTCTGGGATCCTGCTGGTCATGAGCTTTGATCGGTATGTGGCTATCTGTAACCCGCTGCGCTATGCCACAGTGCTCACTGATGCCTGTGTGGCGCTTATGGGAATGTCTGTTATTCTCCGCAGTTTCTGCATGGTTTTACCACTGCCTTTCCTTCTGAAAAGATTACCCTTCTGCAAGGACAACATACTCTCCCATGCCTACTGCCTGCATCCAGATCTGATCCGCCTGCCCTGTGGTGACGTCACAATCAATAATATCTTCGGTCTATTCATTGTCATCTCTACCTTTGGCCTGGATTCTACATTCATTCTCCTCTCCTATGTGCTCATACTCCGCTCTGTACTTGCCATCGCCTCCCAGGAGGAACGTTTAAAGACACTCAACACGTGTGTTTCACACATGTGTGCTGTGCTCATCTTCTATGTGCCCATGGTTAGTGTATCCATGGCTGCTCGCTATGGGAGGCATGCGCCACAGTATATACACACGCTCATGTCTTTTATCTATCTCTTTGTGCCTCCGATGCTCAATCCTGTCATCTATTCCATTAAAACCAAAGAGATTCGTCGGAGGCTTTGCAAAATACTACTGGGAACCAAGTTTTGAGCAGGAGACATGTTGAAAAGCCAAGATTCAGAAGATGTTTATTTTTACTCCAACAATTTGATTTTTCAAGACTTGCTTAGATAAGGTGTTTTTAATATCCCTTTAGCATATTAAAAGGTGATATCTGGCATATAACCTACCAATAGAATTCCCTTCAACAGATGTTGTTGGATGGCAGCCTGGCACAATGGTTAAGTCTCAAACCAACAGGTTTTGCCAAGGTAAACTGGGTCATAATTTAGTAAAAAATAATGGTTCAATTTCTTTCTTTTAAAATCCAAAAATAAGCTGGGCTCGGTGGCTCAGCCTGTAATCCCGTGCTTTGGGAGGCTGAGGTGAGTGGATTGCCTGAGCCTGCGGGTTCGAGACCCGCCTGGGTAACGTGGCGAGACCTCATCTCTACAATAAAAATAAAAAATCAGCCGGGCATGGTAGCGTGTGCCTGTAGTTTCAGCTACTTGGAAGGCTGAGGCGGAAGGATCGCCGGAGCCCAGCAGGCGAGGCTGCGGTGGCTGGGAGCGGCCACTGCACTCCAGTCTGGGCGACAGAGTGAGACTCTAACTCAAAAATAATAAAAATCCAAAAATATGCATAATCAATTCCTTATTTTGTTACATGTTGCTATTATCCTTGTTTAAAGTGAATCATCCCGAAGGAAATTACTTACTACCATGGATACGCTGCCATAATGGAAAAGGGATGTTTTTCCCAAATAGTATGTAAAGGAGATATATAAAATCATACACATACATACACATAAACATCATAGCTATGCATGACAATATGTATTTCATATAACACACACTGTCCACCTAGTGTTTAAAATTAGATACAAGTAATTGCATATAAATTATATTGTGATTTAACTTTAAATAATATTAAATTTTGTTAAAGTTTGTATTGCTATATATATTGTATATATCTTGTTTTGAAAACAATTTAAACTATTAAATTGTGTATAATACAATTGAATTGTGTGCATATTTAAATACAATTTAAAAATAATAAAATAGGAAGGCTATGTAGTAAAACATGAAATACAATGATATATTCTGTGTAAATTCATAGCTTTATAAGATTGGGGGGTATTTTTTATGATTAACAAAAAAAAAGTTAAGGTACAAATCTTTCAATTTAAATTATATGTTAATTTATTATAAGTTATAAATCATGTAATTAAATTATTCAATTTAGATTATACAGTATAAAACAATGAAATAGTTTATAAAAATAATTTATATTAGGTAAACTGAAAGAATTAAATTAATGTGAATTAAAAAGTGAAAATAATCTAGTAACTGATTCATTAACAAGTTCTTAGAATAGACCACTCTCTTGGAAAATGTAATTAAATGAAAAAATACAACTTAGATACAATATATATTACTAGATCAATATTTTAAACAGTAGAATATTCTATAAGTAATTTTAAATCTTGATTGAATTGGCATTTTGGGGGGAAAGTACAAAATGCAAATGATGAGGTTAGTAATAGTTGAGAAACAAATTGCAAGTTATCAAACAATTATACTTCCACATTCATCTAAAACAGTAGTACAAGAACCTTTTTCTCATTTTTTCCCCAAATTACGGGAAACATTATTTTTCTTATATAGTTCTTAAATTGTACAAAAAGCTGCAAAGCTATGCAAAAGGGCAAATATAGTGTTTACAAATTATACAGAAAAAAATTATATCAGTAAAAAAATTGTAAAGTTAAATGCACTAATAAAAATATGTGTAAATACTAAAAGTTGTTAAAAACAATTAAACTTAGACAAAATGTCATATTTATCTTTCTATATATTTTCTAGTATTAAAATAATTACTCATTTTTCAGGAATTCCTCAAATATTTCACTACATTAATGAGCAAAATAATAACTATGTAAATAATAGACTTCAGAAAAGGTGAAATGAAACAACAACAAAAATTCTACATAAAAATAAAGCAATTTAGTCCTGTATATTTTCTTAACTTGTTGAATATACTTTTTGATTAAAAGAAAAGGAAAAATGTAAAAAAAACAACCATTACTGTTTATCATTTTTTAAAGGACTCTGACAAATGCAGAGAAACTTTCTTTTTTAGGTTAGAAAATAAAGTTTATTTAAAAAGTAAATTAGAGAGAGAGAGAGGAGATTCACCTCCTCAAGGTAGGGGAGTGGTCCACTCTTGCCTCTGTGAAAGGTGAATAATAAACTTTACTTCTTTCTACTTTCAAAAAAAAAAAGACAGGGGAGGGGGTCAAAGCTAGAAAACATGGCAACGGACATAGCTCAAAGAGCACATGGACGCACCAGAATCTAGTAAGGCAATGGCAAATAGCTGCTTGTGGTTGAATCCTTTTTTTTGAGTTGGAGTCTCACTCTGTTGCCCAGACTGGAGTGCAGTGGCCGCCCCCGGCCACCGCAGCCTCGACCTGCTGGGCTCTGGCGATCCTTCCGTCTCAGCCTTCCAAGTAGCTGGAACTACAGGCGAACGCTACCATGCCCGGCTAATTTTTTGATTTATTGTAGAGATGAGGTCTTGCCAAGTTGCCCAGGCGGGTCTCGAACCCGCGGGCTCAGGCAATTCACTCACCTCAGCCTCCCAAAGGCGTGGGATTACAGGCTGAACCACCGAGCCCGGCTGTTGAATCCTTTTAATCCTTCTCTTTGATGGGGGATGGTCATTAAGGTGACTGGGTAATAGCCTGCTCCACATCATCATGAAGGGGCAGGTAAGTGCAAGCATTGATGTCCACTGGTGATGGACAGCAGGCAGATAAGCAGATGGGTGGGTTAGTCACATGATTGCCATGGTGGGGTCTGTCTGTTTCATGTAGGTCACTAAGGACTCATTACGTTAACCTGGGTCCTATGGATGCAAGTAAATACTTGAAACAGAAAAGCTAATTAGTAACAAGCTGGGGATAGAGAAACTTTTAACAGAAATGAGCTGTTTTGACTTACTCCTTTATCTATAATTGAACACTAAATCCTTAAATCCTGACAACTGTCATAGCAAGATTTTGACTTAGCAGCTCTCTGCTTCTACATTACCATGATTGCTACCTTATCCTGGGCCTTCATTACCTCTCACTTCATATCACATTTTCTTCTAATCTGATCCCATTGTTTACCTTTTTTTTTTTTCTCTAAAGGTTTCTTATATATAGCTCAAGGATTGAGTCCAAAACCTTGAACATATCTCTTAATAATATAATCACTGTAAGTGCCCATCTTTCTTGTCTTATTATCCTTAATTACTTTTCCCATCCCCAAATAATTTGCTCTTGCTATACTGAACCACAAGTGGTTCCTGGACAAACAGGCTGCTTCATGCCTCTGTATTTTTATTCTAGTAGCCTCTATTTGCCCATGTTCATATGCCCAGAAACTGCACATCATTCTAATTATTCATCAAAATCACATTTATTAGATAGATGCCATAGGCCAGACACTGACTCATCTTTTGGGTTCTCTACTCTATGAAGCATTTATGGACACTTGTTTACTACTTATCCTCTGCCTGTTGGCTGCCCCTGCCTTCAACAATGACAAAACAAGTGTTCTGTTATTTTTATGCTTCTAACATTTTGTGTAGTATTATATCACAGCATCTAGTTACTATTCTGTCCTTTTCTGTTTATTACATATTGCTTTCTGTTTGAATCATAAGCCTCTTGAAAGAATGGATTGTATTGTTAATATTAAAAAGTGTGAACTTTGTGAAAGTTATGGTCTTGGAAAAATCTCAACATCTCTAAGACTCAATTTACTCACTTGTAACATTGACTTTAAAAAAGATTGCTGAGTTTTTAAATAAAATATAAAAATAATGTATGCAAAATGGATAGTATGCTAGTTGGCATATAATAGTACTTGATAATGGAAAACTCTTATGGTAACCAGATTTTTGTACTCAGAGCTTAGCATTATAACACATCTATAGAAAATTTCATTAAATTCTTTTAGATTGCATAAATAAATGAATGTGAACTTATTTTCATTAACAAATCAAATCATCTAACTTGTAGATACAAAGTAAATGTTTAAATGGAAAATTACTAAAAATTGAGATGATATGCCAAATATAACAAAACTATTAATTTTCAAAATATTGGAAAATATTTTAATTAACAAATAATTCAACTTTTAAATTAAAAAAATTATTTTTTCACGCACATTTTAATACTAAATGTTATAGAAAAAAATTTTAAAAATATTATTGATAGATTTAAAAATAAGATTGAATGAATGGAAACAAAGTATGTGCCTAAATAGAAAAATTAAACAAATATTATAAAGGCACCAATTCTTCCTAATTAAAATTACTTACTTCTGAATATTTTTAGTAACACAACAAAATAAATTTAAAGCTAACTTACAAGTCTTATACAAGCAAGATTGTCTTCTTTCAACATAGTGATCTATTACAGAAACAAAGAATTGAATACCACATGTTCTCACTCCTAAGTGGGACCTGAACATTAATCCCAATAGCACAAGGTGGGGGTAGGGGGGTGAAGCGGGACTGGTAACAACACAAAAGGTACCTGGTTTTAAACCGGGGGAAATGAAGACCCGTTGGAGGCCCAAACTTCACCTGCACATAGATTACTTATGTACCTAATTATGATTTGTTCCCCATATCTTTATAATAAAATAAAGAAAAATGTTCCAAAAAAATGAGAAAATGGAAACAGAAATATAGTAGACCTCCAAAGTGTTAAAATGTGAAGGAACAAACAAAAAAAGCTATACTAGTTAAAATAGAAGATATGTTGCTAAAATGGGTTTCTAATATAGGATCACTGAGAAGAATGTATAAACCATTGTAAAGAAATTTCTAAAAATAAGATACATATTATCAAAAATCATTATAGATTCTGACTTTTTGAATAAAATACATATCATATTATTATTAAACAATTGCTCTTTTGTCTAGAAAAAGTATTCGGAAGTAGTAGCAGAAATTTGATTAGTAGTCCCTGATTAGATTTGGGAAGATGTATT